GGCAGCAGCAGCTGGCTCCACGTCGAAACGGTCGCTTTGAAATTGCTCGGGCCTGTGCGAAACCCGCCACCCCAAAAACCTGCAGTGTCTTGTGTCTGGACCTCTAGGCCCTGTCCGGTGGGGTGAAACGACATTGAAAAATCAACCCATTATTTTTCTAGGGGCGGCCAGGACCCTATAAACGTCCTGGGCCGCCCCAATTTTTTTTTTGATTTTTGCCCCAGAGGCCTCAATGCAGACATATTGTCCAGACACCGGACACCGGAGTGTCTGGAACCTGGTCCGGACGTCCAGGCGGTTACCATGCTCGGCCTGAAGTTTTTTGTATTGCAGTGCTGGATAACATATCTTTGCTGAAGTTTGTTCCAGATTTTTGTTGGTTTATTTTCCTGAATTTCGGAATTTCCGAAAATTTAATTAATTATTAATTAATATATTAAAAAAATATTTTTAAATTATGCAGATAACATCTGGACCTAGACAACCGGACAGTGTGGATTGCCTTCTGGATGTATGTATGGTAACCATGGTTGGGTGGGTCATTCATGGAACATGCCGATGGAATGTGGACGGACTGATTCTTTTGGAGATACCAAATCTTGGTCCTCTTCTGGTTCTCCCCAGAATGGGCAAAAAGCCAGTACCATAAGGATAGTATAGTCACGGAAAACAACTCGCACGTAGATACGCAGAGTAAGTCGACACAAGTTCAAAATCGAAATAGAGTTAATGAGTACAATCATGAGATATTACAGGCACAATCATCCTTCCACTACACCCAAGATCCACCGTTCATACCATGAACCAACGTCAGCTACCGTAGTCGCTAACATTCCGGAATGTCAACGCTACTGATAGTGGACCCCGTAAGAGATCGAACAGATTGCACTTGCTATTCTTATACGGAGCGTAATGACCCTTCGTAGCGGCCGGCATCAAACGACAAGTGCGCCCAAAAAAATAGGTCCCATTACCGGGTCCAATGAGTCCCGGTAGGGTATCATCCCATACGTACATCAATAATCCTGGTACCAACCAAACTGACCGCCTGCGTACCTAAGTGAATCAAAACTAACCTTGTCGCAGTATTCCGCAAACAAAAAAGTTCCAGTAGCTACTGCTAGAGTACCCATTCATAATATCACATCCAAAAATATGCAATGACTGCAATTACAAACACCAACAAAATATACACTCAAATGCAGGACAAGAAGCAAAAAGAAAAAGAAAAAAGAAAACACCATACCCTGTTCGAGCATGCCTACCACTGCCTAGTTCTCATTCCAGTAACCTGAGCATCTGCTTCCAAACTTCGTCACGCTGAAAGGCAAAGCGTCGCAGTACTCGTCCGAGAAAATCCATTGGGCAATCCTTAATCTGTAGCTCTCGTTTCAAGGACAGCACCCGTCCTGGGATCTCGCTACGGATTGAGGTGTTTTGGTCAATCCTGTGCAGATAACTACTAATAGTTGTGCTCCTCTGTTGTTTACTTCCCCAAGATAAGAAAGACTGCCTATTCTTAATTTCCAACTCGCCGGTGGACCAGACACTACGCTCGTTCCTTGACATCTGGACGCACCCAAGGTATGGGTAGTTACCAGAGCTTCTAACCTCACAACCCAGAAAATCAACAATACCAGTTCCGTCGTCAGTTCGCTTGAGGCACAGTTCCTTTGGGAAACAACTTGCAAACTTCTCCATCACCCATTGAAGTGTTTTTTCGGCCAAAGAAGCAGTCACCAGGACCACGTCATCCACAAGTTGCACACCAAACACTTGGCGGCCATGCTTTCCCAAGCTGTTCATAAATGAGCACTCTGCATAAGCGCAAAGTATGCAGGCCAACGGGGGACTTGTAGTCTTCCCCATTGGAATACCAACATCCTGTCTGAGGAGAACACTAGTTGCAAATGTATAAGTATGCCTAAGTACTTCAACATATCATCCAGATGCAGAGTCCTCCAATGATCGCCACCCGTTGGTTTTCCAAATGAGCATCCCTTTCCTCTGCCATTAACCCGCACAAACTGACGTCCCTTCTTCTCATGAAAATCAACTATCCACTCAACAGCTCTCCGAATGTCCTGGTGAGGGAGGCGACTAAACATGTCTTTGATATCAAAGGCATGAATAATCACATCCGGATACAAATTCACCCGACGAATCCTTTTGTTGATCTTCGCAAGTCTTGTTACCAGCTGGGAAATGCCGGGGAGGTTAAAATGACATCCAACGGGCAACTTTGAGAACAAGAAGTTCAAGCCCTTCGCAACTACTCTCCCCGTGCGAACCATCGGCTCCCTGTATGTAGGGCAAATGGGCGATAGTGCGTTAAGTCTTTATGCTTGGGAATAACGTAAGCAACCCCGACCTCCCGTTCTTATCCCATCTGGCGAACCTACTCAAACCTGCCAACTCCATGTCCTCACGAATTTCTTGCAACACCACACTCTCAGGCACTGACATAACTCTGTAACCCGAATTACGAACAAACATATCCACCATCGCATTGCAATAAATGCTAGGACACATGACCACAGTCTCGCCAGGATCCCGGTCGAGAGGGGTCAAGACGACCCCATCAAATCTTTCCTTTTTTCTAACATCATCAACTGTAAGGCATCCAGAAGGAGTAGCCTCATCCACAAAGCAACAAGACAAAGCATCAATAGAGATCTGAGGCAAAGTGCCCTGAAAATTTCTCCAAGATTGAAAACCATCCAGGATCTCCGATCTCAAACAACTCAGACGATCCGTGACTTGGGTCTTCAGCACATTATTAGCACTAGCCAATAAGGGGTGATCTACCAATTCCTTGTCAAGGCGAAAATGCATGCCCATCCACACGTGGGTAGGGTAATCCTGCACACTGGCAGGTAAGCACGTACCGAGTTGCAAAGACCCGGTGGTTGTGCAAAATTTTGGCAACAGTCTGGTTCTTCTGCCAGACGATCCGGGTTTTCATATGCGCACGATGCAAAAAACAAGTAGGGATGTCACTGCTCATCAGCAAATCATTCACCAACTTACGAAGTTGACAGAGCTTAATCCTATCATCAAACGTGACCTTGATCAACAAGTCAGCACTGAGACTGAGATCAAACTTCTCCAAAAATACACGTGCCAACAAACGACACAGGTATTTCTTTGTAGATTTTCGAGAAAAATCTTTGACAGCATTATATACACGTAGTAACGAGCACATACCCAATCTATAGAAATCCGATATTGTCCTCAGGTTCTTCAAGAGAGAAATCAAAACACTCTTCAGGTACCTGCATTGCGGTTTCCAGACCTTCAGCTGTTCGATGACCACATGACATCCAACTGTTTACACTCGCAAAGCAGCTGCTTACCGGATTCAGTCAACACGACTGATGTTCCGTAAGCACGTGATACCTTCTTCCAAGGAACTTGCCAAGTATTCCCACCACTTGCCTGAACCTCCAAACTACGTATTCCTGCATCAACGTGTTCACTCAAAATCCGAAAACGGCTAAGTCTCGAAACTCCATCGTTGCTTGTTCGAAAACGCACCTCTCCCTCCTTCCTCTACTACACATCTTACCCTCATGACTACGAGACAGCTTCGTGCCAGATGTATTGAGGTACAGTGGCCACTAGCGGATATACCTCCTCCAAGTTTGTCAACTCATCACTGACTATGGAGTCCACGGGAATCAGTACATAATTTCCAACGCCAAAAGTGCTCAACCATTGGTAAAAATGGTTCTGGCTACAAGTACGGCATGCATACATATGTTCAAGTTATTGTACGTTCAGGTGCCTCGTAGTTTTTCCCACATATTGTGACTTACAATAAGGGGAAACAGCAACGTAAACACAATTGGTGATATTAATGAAGTCAGTACTGAAAGTCTCATAAAGTCTCACCCACGCGTTAATGCACTTCCTCATCGATCGAAAAACTCCAAGCAATGGCAGTCGGACCACTATCAGGCGGAGGAGCTCTTCCACCCCAAAATCAACGCACTTACTTGTTGCCCTCCACTTCGTAAGACAGCCCAAGATCTCCCTAATAGTCGGCAATCTCGAGGCCACTTCACACATCAGTCTCCTCCTTGTTTTCCTCCTCGGCCGTTACAGCTTTCTCCGCCAAAGGCGGCCTCTATGCCTCTTCCTCTTGGTCGGATCCGTAATCCTCATAAGTACGGTTCGCAACTATATAAAAAATAACATCGAACTTACCGTTATACGGAATTCCTTCATCCCTACAGATGTTCTGGAGAACGAGCGCATCCAGACACTTCAACTCATGTAGGACCTGCTTCTCGTACTTGAGTCGTCCAACAGCACCAATAGTCGCCGGTATTTTTTTACGAATCAACCCCGGCGTCTTCTGTGGTGACAATATGTTCACCTTGTTCTTGGACTGTGCTCGAGTGAGTCTCCCTGTCAATTTCACCGGCTTCATGGTCGCTCTCTTCGGGGTGCGCTTGGGAGGTAATTCCATCGGTGGGCTTCCCTCCAAAACTGGTTCAGCTCCTCTGTTACATTTCTCAGAAATGCATAGGTTCCGTGTGCGAGCACTCAACTCCTCGGTCTCGCTGCTACTTGCGTTACTCTCCGAATTCGAGTGACTCGCTGCTACTTGCGTTACTCTCCGAATTCGAGTGACTCCCTCCAATCACCTTTTGTTTACCTTTCACCAACGCCTTACATAACTCGCTGATAGCGCCACGGAGATCGCCTTTGACGTCATCACGCAACTCACCAACGCACAAGGCTACCTGTAAATCCAGGTTCTTATTCATCTCCTCCAATCGTTCAGCTTCCTTCCGTGCTTTCTCTTCCTTCTTCGTCTTCTTACGTTCCTTCTCCAAACGTTCGGCTTCTGCTTGCTCTCTCTCCCTGTCAGCACGTTCAGCTGCTTCCTTCTTCTCGATCTTCCTCTTTTCTTTCACAGCCTTCTTCTGTTATTCAGCCTCCACGTACTGGCAGACGGCAGCCACACTTTTCCCAATCTCGGCGACCTTACGATGAATATTATCATTAGAGGAAGACGCTTGCCTGTTGTAACCTCGGTCATGACGAAACGGTGAGTGTGACCTTCCAAGTCGAAAATCCGACGAGGTTGTCGGTCGTACTTGTCTTCGCGGATGAGGGCATTGATTCGCGGAATGCCCAGGCTCCCCACAACTGAAACACGTTGGTGGACCTCTCCTTGGTCCACAGTCGTAACTTCCTTGGTCACTCCCACCATAATCGCGTCGGTCACCTCCATAATCTCTCTACGGCCATCGCTACGGTTACCTCCATCGTAATCACGCTGTTCCCTTCCAAAATCTCTGCGGTCGCCGTGCCCCACCATCACCAACAGTACCTTCCCAGATAGACGCACGAGCTTGAAGAAGTAAGCAGCCGTATTCCTCGTAAGCCACTCACGTAATCGCGTACCAAGCTAGAAAAACATTGTGCTCACTTGTCTCAGTATCACAACTCCGAGATAGTTCACACACGTCGTCAACAGTATAGTCACGGAAAACAACTCGCACGTAGATACGCAGAGTAAGTCAACACGAGTTCAAAATCGAAATTGAGTTAACGAGTACAATCATGAGATATTACAGGTACAATCATCCTTCCACTACACCCAAGATCCACCGTTCATACCACAAACCAACGTCAGCTACTGTAGTCGCTAACATCCTGGAATGTCAATGCTACTGATAGCGGACCCGGTACGAGATCGAACAGTTTGCACTTACTATTCTTATACGAAGCGTAATGACCCTATGTAGCGGGCAGTATCAAACGAAGTGCGGCCAAAAAAATAGGTCCCATTACCGGGTCCAATGAGTCCCGGTAGGGTATCATCCCATACCTCCATCAATAATCCTGGTACCGTAAGGGCCTGTTAAGCTTAAAACAAAAAAGAAAGGAAAAAAAAAAAGAGATGAACTTATTTAGAAGGGCACTGGCATTGTGGAGCGCAAATTTAAAGTGATTCCTAGTGCCAGTATGCCAGGATTTGCAAACTTGCTAAGGGCATGCTCACACAAGGCCCTTGAAATCGCAAAATTGCACAAGCGGCCAGGTCGAGTCCTTGTACAATGAAGACTCGATCAGGCCGCTGATTTTGCGAATTTGCGATTTTGAGGGTGTAGTGGGGGTACACTCTAAATCCCTCAAAACGCCAGGTGGACACATTTTACGATGACTTTACAGAAAATATGAGAATGATGTTTATCTTCGTGCATTTTGGCCCTCTCCTAGCTCTCTGTACAGAATCCAAACATGAGAAGAAAGGACCGAGAGGGTAGGAAATGTGTGTTAAGCTTCATCATCTACCAACACAGATGACGATGCCTGGCCCAGCTCCTAAGCAGGCCGTCAATGGCTGACAAATTGATTGATTGACATGTTTTCACTCTGTTCCAGGCACCCCACCAAAAGTAATGCGATTCACAATGAGCTATGGAAAAGCTGGGGAGGTGAGTGTCGAAGGACACGGATAATTACCATAATTGAGAAATCTTTGACACCATGCCTTCTTGTGATTCTTCTTGTGTGACATGCATTAATAAGTTAATTCCTTCACTAAGCGGCATAGTTGCCCTATCCATGTACAAGTGCAGTTTGTTTTTCTCTCTTTTTCAGTTTTAATTCCTTCACTAAGCGGCATAGTTGCCCTATCCATGTACAAGTGCAGATCACCCACCAGACTCTGCAATGAAGCTGCTAGGTCAACATGGCTGCCATAGATGTGGAATGCATGCCAACGTTCAAACAGGGATTCAAAGAACTATGGACATTGGACACCCAAGTATACAAATCAAGAATGAGATCTTACGGTCTGGATGTTGGGCTTACAACATGACCATCAGATTGCAGGGCCCCACAGGGAAGTTCAACCTCCCTGCTGTGTGCCTCGCGGTCTCATGTTGAAATGAGGAATGAGAGTTTGAGCCCTGCACTGCCGTTTCTTTCCTTTTGTTTGCTTTTGTCGACAAGAAACAGGGCCTTGTGGTCCTCCTGGCTCTGTTCTTTCTTTTTTCTTCTCCAAACATCTGGACCACCTCTCGATTCGTGCTTGTCATCCTTGCGTATGGGCCATGGTACTCTTCACTATACCGTTCCGATTTTAATGGATGTTCCCAAGGACAGTGCTGTTCTATTCTGGGGAGCAGCAGTCCGTTTCCTGCTTGTTGTGTTTTACAAGAACAGTCGTCTGTTTATTATTACTCGAAACTAACAAGAACGGTCAACAGTTTATTAATAACTTGAAACTAGGTCCATCATCCCATACAATAATTTTACCCACTCTATGCTGCAATGAGCCCAGACAGATGAAAAGCTCATGAACGTCGAGATACGAGTCTGACTCAGCACAGAATTAATTAATGTCTCCAAAAATCGTTTATGAAACCATGCCCGACGTACATGTGATCTCCCAATGTCTCGAACTTCAGAGAAGAGACTGAGGAAAGGGGGAGACGAGACTGAGAGGAGGAGGAGGAGGAGAGTTCTCACAAGACTCAATGAAGCAGTAGTCCCTCCTCATGCCACTTCCTCCTGGGGCATCTCCCTCTCTCACCACCTCAGCAATGCAATTCTCCTCTGACGATCTCTGACGTACACAATGAGCACGTCATAACAGGGCGTCCATCCTCCCTCCACGTCATCTTCATGCCCCCTTCCCCAACCCCTCCACCAATCCTTGCAGATTTTGCCCCACAGATTAAATGTCTAAGACGCACCCCCCTCTGGACCCCACGCCACCCCAACCACCCACCCCCCTGGGACACCCCCCAAAAACAAAAACAATTCTTGCTTTCAAAGTTTTATTACGGAATCTGACAGATCTCAGAGAGCGCAGTCAGATCCCGCAATCACAACCGAAAAAAAAAAAAAAAAACTGGCCATGTTTTTGGGCCATTCAGTTTTCCGGTTCACCCCCCCTGGACCGGTCCGGCCCTGGTTGGGCCGGCCCAGCTGAACCAGCCGGTTGCCGGCCCAGCCCTGGTTCAGAGTTGATAGGATGTGAGGTCCGGCAGAAAACGTCTTTCTGGTAAGCTTGGGAGGTCAAACGTCATGTGTCACATGCTTTACCTCTCCCAGGGAGCAGGCTGTCATATGGACACACAAAGAAACTTCCAGGCGTGACAGCAGCTTCCCACCGGACTCCCTGTCCTCTAAAAGTGAACCACCTTCCCTTGGCTGGCACAGAAAAATGAATAGGCTCGTTTTCAGCATCTAACCCAGCCTGGGATCAGCCAACAAGCACTTGCAGAGAATGCGGAAACTCCCACAGCACACAGCCACCTCAGACATGTGTTGTGGGCATAACCATAGCCCCGGATCATGAAAGGGTGAAGGTGCAGACATAAGGAGGCAGCTTGGAGATGGAGTTGGGCCATAGGCCTGTGCTTTTCGAGATCGAAATCATGGCGTTCCAGACCGTTTGCTATGAGAGTGGGAGACTGTGTGAGATGAATGTTCTGATTCTGTACAAATTATGCATCATATTCTGGATGTTGCAGCACGGTTATTCGGTGAAGCACCTTTTGCTCTCGTATTTCCTGGTTCGTTTTGGTTCTTAGGTCTCGGTGCCCATCCCTGGCTCGGGTTATGCAATCACATTGCTGTCTTGTTGAGATACTTCACTTGTGGGTTCATTTTGGCAACTAGGAGAGTGCAAGGCCCTTAAGAAGAGAGCTAGGATCACTACTGTACTGACGGAAAATTGAACTGGTTCCTTCTAGACAGAATCCTATGAGGAGTCCTCATGGGGCTGAGGCTGAACCTTGAGGTGGGATATATGAGTAGGGTGAATTTTGAGGGTTCCCAGCTTCATTGTGTTTCTCTTTCAGTAAAACTTCTCTGTTTCGGCTTTCATTGAAAAGCACAAAGGCAAGAGGGGGAGAGGAGGAGGAGGAGGAAGACGTTCTGATATTGTCATGTGCTTACCTATGGAATGCAGGAAATCCTTCTCAGTATACGATATTTTGATCCGGACCTGCGCTTTGCTTGGGTTCAAGGTCGAGGCCGTTTGACTGCCCGCACAGAAATAGAAGGCCCTCCTTCGTTGGGAAGAAACCATGCACATGGAACATTTTATTGGGATGAAGGCAACAGAACATTCCATGTCATATTGCGAGGCGGTGGAGAGAACTGGGGCGTAGAAGTCCGTACAGAACCATATGTAAAGGTATGTTCTCTGGGGAAAGTTGTCTCTGATGTATTATGTTATACAGCTTATGTTTATGCTTATGCAACTGATTTAAGTGTCCATCCTTTCTCGGTCCTGGCACAAGCTCCTCCCTTAGAGGGGCCAGGATGATGTACTGTGGTTCAGCAACGATGAACACGGACTCAAAGGACAAATGTTTAAATACCTGGTAAGAGCTTTCCGATCCAGGCCTGGGCCGGTAGTGAGCGTGGTGCACATGCAGGCTTTCAAGCCTTGGAAGGTAGCTTTGTCAACTTTGGCACTTGTGAACTGCTTGTTTAACAGGAGCACTAGAATCTTTTTGTCTAGCCTCTGCATCCTGTGTGCTCACATGAACAGATACCATTGTTTCGGTACTCTACGCGCCTTGGTTATCAGCTTCCCCACCCTGATTTTTATGTCAGTTGGCAGGTGGCAAGGAAATGGATGGCGTCGGGTTGGGTCTCAGATACTCTAGGCCTAGATTGGCAGCGGCGTTGCCCCGGCACTGGAAGCTATTGATGGACCTGCCAGTGGTTAAACACGCTTGTTTGTTGTGGCTGGTCGTTCATCAGGTGCTCCCGATCGCTCCTTGGTGTGCTCGCCGTACGCTGCGAGCCTGGCCTCTTTTGTGATATTTGTCCAGAGACTCGGGTGGAAGACCTGCAACACTTCTATTTGCTATGCAATCTCGCATGGCCCTTCTGGGCTTGGTGGCGAGTGGTTGCCCCGATGCCCGGGGAAGCAACTCGGTGGACTGATGAGTTTGTTTTCCTGGGGTGGGCAGCTGACTGAAGCGGGTCCCTCTCTTCTCAAGCGTGGGCGGAGGAGACCCTGAGAAGAGCTATTCTTTGGGTCTTGTGGACTCTTCGGAATGCTGTGGTGTGGAGGGGCGAGCGGTTTACCTCCCCTATGGTCATGGCTGAGATAAAGTACTTATTAAACAGGTGTTGGCGACCGACTGGGCACTTAAAGTTCAGCACAAAGCCCTTAGGTGGTTTCTGTCAGCCTGGAACAAAATTTTGGGCCTGGTGACTGTCGTCCACAGCCCTGCCTGCCGAACTGAGCTTTGTGTTACTAGTTTCGTTGTGTGAGCCCCTCCCTTTTCTTTTGGTGCCTTGTCTCGTACTGATTGTAGTGCCCTGCTTGCAAGTTGCTCTTTTTGTAATTGCTGTTGCTTGCTTTGCCCTTTTCCTTGTGAATATGATATGGCAGTGGGTTAGTAGCCCTTACCTGTAAAATAGTGCCTTGTATTGTTGTACTTTGCTTGCAGTTGTTCTTTTCATAAATGCTGCTGCCTGCTCTACCCTCTTCCCTTGTAAATACGGCTTGGTACCGGGTTAGCAGCTCTTTTCTGTAAAATAGTGCTTTGTACCGTTTGTTTGACCTCCCTGCAGCATGGGCTGCGTTGGCTACCCGAGTTGTTGGGTTTTACGTGTGACTAGCCTTCGGTGCTTCGGTGGACAACTGGTCTTTTTTTTTCCCCTTTTTTCCTGGTTGTGTGAGGATTTCACCCCTCGGCATACCTGCATAAGTCCCCCCCAGAAAGGGCGTGCCTGCCCTGAGTGAAGGCGGGCCCCTGAATTGCAAAGAGCCCTGAATTCATCAATGTTTGCAAATCTTGGTGGGCGCCAGACAGTTGCCACACGCCAGTTGGTTACATCCACCATGCTCGTGAGAATCAGAAATATTTTGAGCCTTCCAAGCTCTTCCAGCTGGTCAGGAGATCCTAACAAAGAAAATGGCATACCCAAGATTGCCTGGCATTATGTCATGAGAAGTCCGCAGAAGGGAGGTCTAGGAATTATAGACCCTGGAAGAGAGACAAAAGCCCTACAGACCAAATGGATTATTAAACTTTTGATGAATCCCGACTCTGCATGGAATAAACTAGCCTTGGACAGTATCAGAGCCTTGGCCCCGGCACCTTCTCCAGAGGACATGTCAGGGCAGTTTTGGGTAATGAACAAGGAATGGGTCATGACTACAGGGCGAAGAAATCGAAGGGGGGATGAAGGACTAGAGGGTTACAGACCTCCTACTCCATACTGGTCAGCGCTACTCCGAATTTGGAGAAGAATAATGCCTAACAAATCTATTAGACCTAGATCCAAGGACGAAGTACTCAGCCAGCCACTCTTCGGGAATCAATGGATAACCAACGAGAACGACAACCCCTTTCCCCTGGAACACAGATGGCTCTCCTGGGTCAAAAATGGTGTATGGAAAGTCGCCCACCTGTGGGATGAGGAAAAAAAAGAATGGAAGACGGAACAAGAGATTAGCTCCCAACTGAAAGGATGTCATAAACGAGGGCCTAATCTCCAATAGATCCGTAACCTCATCCCACAAGAATGGAAGGCCATATTGACTGGAGCTGCACCTTGGAAACCAGGAGAGTGGGGGCTTCTGGTACAAGAAACGATTCCTTTCAGAGCCTTCCAGTTCTCTCACATGCAACAAAACTCGCCCACTAAGGCCACCTTCTTCTCCTTTCCGGTTTCCTGGTCCGCTACCAGCATGCCAACCATTGTCAACAGTGGAATAGAGTCAGAAGCCTTAGACTTCTTCCTACTTAGAAAGGTGAGAGTCCTTGGTTCCTGGCCAAAATCAATCTTCAGACCTGACACAGCGATTCACAACTTGGAGTTTGACCCAGCTGAGTGGGCATGGGTACCTGATAAAACCAAGAATATCAAGTCCAAAATCCCAATTCACGAGTATACAGTCAAACTGGGATACAAATTGCTACTCAAAACCAAAGACCCTGACCCCATCATCAAGAAAAGATGGCAGACTCTGCTAGGCAGGAGGCAGACAAACTCACTCAGATTCAGTGGAAGAAGTTCAAGTCCATCAGACCAATCAAAATCAGAAGTCTTCAATGGCTAATCACGTACGCGGCATTACCAGTAAATCAATGGCTACACATCAGACGAAAAGGTTCAGACCCCAACAGTTCCGATCAGTGTACGGTCTGCACAGAAACAGCGGTAGAAGATATAATACACTGCCTAATACACTGTAGGGAGGCGACTGACTATTGGGCAAGAGCCTCAGCACTATGGGACTCCCTATTCCTGACCCCCTTCCCTGAACAACCCATCCAACTTCTCCTCCTGACTAACATTGCCGAGAAGTTCCAGAAGGCAGAAAGGATTTGGTTTGGAATCGTAAGGAAGGTGACGTTGTGGATCATATGGAAGGAAAGATGCAGCAGGACGATTGAAGGAGTGGCCAACTCACGCGAAAAAGTTTGGACTGAGACCAGAACGATGATGCAAGCTAAAATCCTCTGCAGATGGCGGAGGACCAAACAATCGTGGACAGAGGATGATGACCAACAAAGGAAGGCGAGACTGAGCTTCAGCAGAACTTGGCTGGTAAATGGTAAAGTGGCGGACCTAAGAGAAGACCGCATCTGTTGGAAAGATTGGCACAACTCTCAAGTTCAGGGAGGGGTTACCAGCAACAAACAGCGGTGGACAGGCAAAACACACTCTGACCAAAACTGCCTCAAGAGAGATTGATGGCTGCAGTATCGGAGAGAAGGTTCAGAGAGGAATGTAAGCGGTTCATGATTTACTGAAAGAGAAAACAGCACATTACCCAAGGTGGAATGAGGAAGGATGCCAGCGAACTGTAAAGAGGTGCCTAAAGACCAACCAATCCTGGACAGGGGACGAGGGACAACAAACGTCCCAGGTTTTTAAGAAGTCTGCAAATTCCTCAATTCTCTCTAGCACAGCACACCGACCCCACAGCAGTATAGCTGAGAGGAGCAGGACTGAGGCGAATCAGACTAGCAAGAGCCAACTAGAAAAAAGCAGCGCAGGCTAACTTATGCAGGGGTGAGAGGGGGTATATCCTTCCGCAGGGAAGTAATCAATGCCGTCCACTCGGGCCTCCCAGCCATAATGGGGAGGAGCGTGCGTGAGTTTCCAATGTATTACGTATTGACTTGCCGGGGGAATAGGAACCGGACTGTCGCTCCCCAGAATGGTAGGAGCCAGAACCAGGAGGTTCTGTTCAAGAAAAAGAAAAAAAAAAAAAAAAAAATCGAGATTGCAAATCACATGGAAAGCCAGACAGTCAAACGCTGTCCAGAAAGCAGAATTGCACTGATATTACACCGAAGGCGAACCAAAGCATCGAACTCAATTGTCAACGAAACCATATACTCGCTACCACCAACATTGCAATCGTAGCTCTTCCTTCTACTGGCGCTCAGCACCCAGACTACTATCCTACAACTACCCTAATAGCAACAAAATAACAAGCAACTTGTTGAGATCCGCAGCAGCAACCGAAGTACATGCACATGTCGATTTTGCGGACCATCGCCAAGACCAGGTGAGCGCCCTCACATCCTCATCCTCATCTCTCTCTCTCTCTCTCTCTCTCTCTCTCTCTCTCTCTCTCTCTCTCTCTCTCTCTCTCTCTCTCTCTCTCTCTCTCTCTCTCTCCCTTCTTCACCCACATTTCCCCTCACATGAAGAACACCACCTAACCCCGCTGACCTTCCAAGCTTGAGCACGGCTATGGGGGCTCAGCTATGGCGCTGCCTGCTTGCTGCGCCCTTCTTCTACACGCCCGGTGTTAGCGCACACTCAAGCAGCGCTGCCGCACTCTCACGCAAGTGCCTGAATGCCAAGTGTGTAGCCCGGCGGAAATTCGCGGGCTCGCTGCCGACCGCCTGCCCCGTGGGACCGAGTTCCCGATAGCTTCACACTCGGCCAAAGTGTCTGCGCACCCAGACAGTGGCCTGGGACCGAATTGGTTAGGCATGCCCAACCACCCAGGCACACACGTGCGGTGTTCTTGATAGAGCTATCCGGAACTGTCCATATAGATGCTATGTACCACACCATTGAGAAGACCGATGTGTTTATGACCAGGGCTCTACCAATGAGGGACGTGAAGACATTACCCCACTTCCCTATTTTGTTGATTTGTTTGGTTAATATGTTTTGACCCATTTGGGGTGCCAGGCCCTCTCT